TATGGAGTGGTTAAATTTTCATCATTTGTGAAATGATTGAAAATTTTGTTAAAAATGGAGGCCCTAACCCTAACCCTGTTAACCATTCCATAAGCCATTGATATTTGACAAGTAATGATCTGAATTATTATTATAACAATGATCTAAATTATTTTCAATTTGATATAAATAAACAATCAAGCGCTAGACAATTCAACACAGGCGGAGTCAATTTATTAAAAGTACATTGCGATAGTTTGCAAATATGGACGATATCATAGGAGTATCGATCTCACGTTTTACCAGGAATAAGCAAAAGAACTGCATTTTTAACATAGTTCTGATTGACGTTTTATATGTAAGTCCTTTCGTAACCAAAAATAGTCATACGATAATACATCAAAATAATATATGCATAAATTTAATATAAATATGTATGTATGCACAAACAACAAAACATCAACTTACATCTAAATTATTATTTTGAAAGTTCATGTTCTTTTCTTTACTATTTTTTTTACTTTAGGACTTTGGTTCTAGTTTTTTCTGCCTTCTTGTAAGGGGAATAAACCTTTTTTTTAAACCAATAAAATAGGCTTCTGAAAATTAATTACATGCTAGTGAAGCATGTTCAAAGCTTGAAAAGTTCTGTAATAAAGTTCTGTAAAAAGAACAATGAAAGAAAACTAATTACTAATCAAGTTAATTATAATATATATAATATAATCATAATGTAACAATAAAGAGAAATAATTACTTATGACAATAAAAACAAAAACATTATAGATTATAATGAAAAATTCTCTTGAAAACTTGAACCTTAAAATATTAAAAAATTAAGATGACAATGAAAGCAAAGAAATGGCCAACATCATTGCTAATGCCTAATATTAATTGTGATTTGCAAAGTGAAGAGGAAAATAATAGACTAACTGTCTCTGACTGCTCCAAGTTCAGAAAGTGAAATATGAAGATGAAATAATTTACTGTTCAGTAGAACGAAGGTAATATTCGCGACGGTTTTAACTCAGCGACGATTAAGTATATGTAAGGCGGATTATGAAAAAACCGATTAAATAATAAATATTTAAAGGTTTAATGAAATGAAAAAAGATTTATTAATGTTTTTTATTTGTTATTTATAAATTTTAACTTGTATATGCAAGCATGTATAGCATATGTAAAAGGCGGATTATGAAAAAACCGATTAAATAATAAATATTTAAAGGTTTAATGAAATGAAAAAAGATTTATTATTGTTTTTTATTTGTTATTTATAACATTTTAACTTTATTCAGATTAAAAATTGCATAAAACAAAAAAAAACTTCATCATAAAATCGCTATATATTAAGATACCAACGATAAGGAGAAAGTTAAAAAATCGCCAAAAAATTATTTATGTATGCATCTGAAAAATATATGAATTTTTTAATAGACAATTTTAATTATATAAATACCATATATAACAAAACATTCTCCCGTTTTGTGCACATTCTCAAAAATTCGATTGAGCGCGTTAACCCTACATTTCCAAATTTGCGTCATCGGTAACGAGAAAGTTAAAAAATCGCCAAAAATCCATTTATGTGTGCATCTGGAAAATATTTGCATATTCTAATAGACAATTTTATTCCCAAAAATAACATATATAACAAAGCTATCTCCCTTTTCCTGCACATTCTCAAAAATTCGATTGAACGCGTTAACTCTACATTTCCAAATTTGCGTCATCGGTAACGAGAAAGTTAAAAAATCGCCAAAAATCCATTTATGTGAGCATCTGGAAAATATTTACATATTCTAATAGACAATTTTATTTCCAAAAATACCATATATAACAAAACTATCTCCCGTTTTGTGCACATTCTCAAAAGTTTGATAGAACGCGTTAACCCTACATTTCCAAATATGCGTCATCGGTAACGAGAAAGGTAAAAAATCGCCAAAAATCCATTCATGTTTGCATCTGGAAAAAATTTGCATCTTATAATAGACAATTTTATTCCCAAAAATACCATATATAACAAAACTTTCTCCCGTTTTGTGCACATCCCCAAATATTGGTCTGAACGCGTTATCCATACATTTGCGTCACCGGTAACCTTGGTACACCTCTTCTTCAACTGCACTACTTAGCAGATGCACCGTGCAGTTGGTTTACATCATGCAACTAACCTCTTTTCTTTCTAAGGCATTGTAGTTACTTGTTATTATGCTCTGTAGGTTTTGTAAAGATTCATCGTTGCCTTTGGGACCATTTTCAGTTAACCCTAAAAAGCATTCATTCTTCCAGAATAAGTCTATCTGTGAATTTCAATTTTTTATTGTTATCACTAGTTTTTTACATTTTCGATTGGTGAAATTATTTCTCTGTTTTAGGCTCCTGCAAGCTTGGCCAAACCAATCCTGTTCATTCAAATTAGACTGTAATTTAATAAAAATGTTATTTCGTATAAAGAATAATATGCATTGCACAGTAATTGAACTATAGTTCTTTAACGCGTGAACATTTAAATTTAAAAAAAAAAACAAAAATGTTTTTTATTTTAGCTAAAAATTAACAAATACTAATGCAGTTGCAGCAAAAAGTGAAATTTAAACATTTTAAATTGAAAAAAATTTTGTGATGACCATGAAGATGACTATAATGTGAATAGTACAGATTGACAAGCGTATAAATTTTAACTATATATACGAGGTAAAATATAATAAACTGTAGTGTTTTTGCGACCGACAAATTAATATAGCATATTTATAAAATATAAGTTTTAGCTTTAATTTAAATGTATGAAAACACAAAAAAATATAATAATACGCTATAATAATAAAAAAAAACGTATGGCACCAAAAAAGTGCAAACCCAAGCGAATGAATAAATATATATATATATATTTACCAAGTATTACTTGCCCACGGATTATGATATCTATATATGTGTGTGTGTGTGGTGTGTGCTGAAAATCATAATGTTATGTGTATGAATTGGTAATTGCACACTACAGGTATCAATATTGCTAACAGATATAGTTATCGTAACATTTATTTTTGCGGCTTCGTACAATTTTTAGTTATTAAAAAACATTGAGTAACTCTTCTCCGCCTATACCTTTCGCTATTTCCTGTTCCAAATTAACAGTAAAAATTTGTCGATTAAGCTGAGCTTTTAACAATGGACTAATGTCTCCATTTGACTAATTTTGATTTGACGCAGAATCATAAAAATAAAACTAAATTTTTTCAATTATTATCACATTCATAACATTGTACAAAATAACTGCCATATTAAAATAATCTGGATACCAAGTCACATAGGTATTTTTGGCAATGAAAAGGCCGATCAATTAGCTTTAACAGCCCACAATGAACCCATACTAAATACAGCAATGATTTACTCAGACATTAAATCAATAATAAATAAATATATATACACATTATGGCAAAATGAATGGAATGATTGCATAACACAATTAAGACAAATAAGGCCATTGATCGAACAAAAGAGATGCAGAATATTTAACACCCTATTGGTATCCTCTAAAATAAACAGACTAATGATTGGCCACACAAAATTAACACATGGATATATATTAAATAAGTCAGATAAAACATTATGTCAATATTGCGGACACAAATTAAACCCAATTACACATAGACATAAACATTTAATATATAAAGAGCTTTCAGAAAATTTTAAGAATAACAATAATATTATCAATGCAATACAATTTCTGAAGGATTGTAACTACCACGATATGATTTAAATGTTTTTCCCATAGTATTTCTCTTTCCCCACGTTCAGTGCAATAAACATTTTTCATATTATCTGAACTTCTATTTTTCCACATGGAGAAAAAAAAATTTTTTTTTTTAATTTGGCAAACAATTGCACCACTTTGGGAGCATAAATGCCGTTAAATATGAACAACAACATAACAAAAAAAAAATAAAACTATCGACGAGTAACGTCCTGGATTGAACGTCCTGTTTTACTTGCATCTTCCAATAGACAATTTTATTCGTACACATTCTCAATAATTCGATTGAACGCGTTACCCATACATTTTCAAATTTGCGACATCGGTAACGTAAAATGGTATTCAATAAAAACACCGCTCGCGTTAGCCATCTTCAGTCTTCGACAAAAGATGTTCACTCCTGCACTACGATGAAGTGCGAGTCGGTTTTTGCAGGAGACCTACCTATAGAGCTGCGTTATTTTTACTGGCTTAGTTAAATGAAACTAAAGCAGCTAAATTAAACTAATTTTTGAATGTAAAAAGGCTCATTCAATTAAAAAAAACGCAACCTAGCTAGAGAGAGGCCTGAAGCAGGCTCATTCAATTAAAAAAAGGAACCTACCTAGAGAGCTGCCTGAAGCAGGCTCATTCAATTAAAAAAAGGAACCTACTTAGAGAGCTGCCTGAAGCAGGCTCATTCAATTGTCAATTATATTTGACCAAGTAGAGACCGACAAATATTACAATTATACAACACTTTAGTCCAATCACTGCATGTGATGAGGGTACATTTTCTATGAACCCAGCGGAAACAGTTTTGACACTGAATCCACAACTCATCAGCGCTTTCATTACAACAAAATAAACATTCATTTATCATGTTATCGGAATTAGCAATCACATCATCAAATATTTTTAATCTACATCTTATTGGATCAAATTCGTTTCCAATTGGTTTGCTTTCATCTAACGTGTCCATGACCATGTAGATGAAAATTCCACAGTTGTGGCCATCCATCTGCTTTGGCAGTTCATTATGCGCTTCAAAGTCGAAATTTTCCCATGATTGTTTGTAAATTCTTTGGGACATACGTTTAAATCTTTTTTCAAATTGTTTGATTTGCAAAATAGATGATCCAAGAGGGTTATAGAAAAATAATTTTAGATTATTATCTACAGTTATTAAACAGTAATGATTGTTGTTGACGACGAGTGGGAAAAATATGTAATTAGCATTAAAAGAATATTGGAAGATGGGGCTAGAACAAGTAAAATTTTTAAACATTACAGTAGTGGACAAGTCACAAGGTATATAGATTGAATTTGTAAACCAGTGAGACAAATAATCTAAAAGAACGCTACTTACCCATTTTTCTCCAATAACAGTCTGAAAATCCGAAAGCAACAACCTATCATTTCTTTTTTTGGCAACGTAACAATTTCTACTGACTATTTGCTCGTAATAGCATTTGTTGCTCGGAATGTTGGAATTTGTTATACAGATGTTGCTGTGGCCATTTGCACTTTGATCATTGCTGCAAATTATTGTGGGTATTTTAACGGTAACTATGCTGTTGAAATAACTTTTGAAAGGTTTATAATTTTCCCCAATAATTTTCCTCACATTCTTTTACCACTGTTTTTATTTTTTTTTACGAGAAGCGGGTATTTGCAGTAGAATTTCTTTCGTACGCTCATCAACATGGTTTTTTAACAACTCCGCAAAACGACCTATTTTTAAATTTGTCGATCCATTTAGCAATTGGTGTTTAATAAACCTAAAACAATTTTCAACTTTGCTATTGCTTGTTCGTTCCCCGTTTTTATTCAAAAGAACTGTCCAAAGAGGCAAAATCGAAATATATTTTTTTAAAACAAGTTTCGCGAGAGTTTTATTACAATATTCGTTTGACTCCGTCTGTTCATCGTTCACCAAACGCAATTGGTCGTTAACATGTTCAAGAATTTGTAAGCCTTTTCGATAAAATGGGCTACTTTCGTGAATTGTCTCCAATTCATTAACTTCATTATCGTCATCATCGTAAACGTGTGCAATTAGATCGTAATGACTTACTTCATTGATTGTTGATTCATGAAACTCATCAAAATGACTATTTAAAGATGGAGTTTTTTTTAACGAACATGTAATATGAAAGAATGAAGTAATTAAATTTATCATGCGTCTATAACTTTTGGCTTGCAATATTACGCTAAAGGCATTTATATAAAATTTAACAACCTCTTTTGTACTAAAATTTTTTTTGACAAATCGAACTATGTTTTTAAAAAAGTGCGCGCAGCAAAGCTTTATCATTATTTGATTTTTTGGGACACATTCGCTAATACACCATTTAAATGCCATTGCCAGGTAACCTCTCAAATCAACTCCAATCCAACCAGTTAAAACGGCATTTATCATTGCCGTTGAATGGTCTGTAACTACGTTCATAAAAATTGGCCAGGCGTTTACCTTTTTTATGACGTATCTTTTAAAATTTATCAAATGATAAGCAACTGAAGCTGTCATGGCGATCGCTTATAAAATCAAAAATTTGAGCGTAACCCGCATCAAGACCTACTACGGCGCTGTATAGATATATAGTTTGTTTGCTATGAAGACGACGAACCACAGACCCCGTTGAATCTAAATGTATTGTTGGTAAGTCTGTCTGACCTAATCTAAAAATAACTTCAATTTGGTTGTCGGAAAAAAAATGGCATAAAATGGAATGGCTGAAACTGCTTGTATATAAATTTCATCCGTTTTTTGAAATTTTTGACGTTCTATTAGATCAATCGTTGCCTTATCGCCTACAGCCATAGCCTCACATCTCACATTTTTAAATACCCCCAACGAATGATTATTTTGTAGATTCCCCTGTTTTATTAATGCAGCATTGGAGGATCTTATAAATTTTTCACGTAAAACAGACGGATGTTGCAATATTAACTGTTCATACAAGTTTTTTCTACGTTGGCCTCTTAGTTGTCTTACTAATTTTCCATTATGGTTATAATTGGTAGACGATGTATAAATATCAATTTTGTTATGACTTATATTTACCTTAAATAATCTGCACAACTCAAATTTACATTTGAGATAAATAATGTAACGCGAACGATTCTCGCGTTTACTATTTGTGATAGCAATGCAGGGCGAAATGGCATTTTCTACCGCGAAGCAGATACGCTCAGTTGATGGTGCATCTTTTTCGCGGAGGCCTTGGTACACCTCTTCTTCAACAACAACAAACAACAACACACGTTTAGACGACATTTTCCCCGAGATCGAGGGTTGCCGTTTGGCTACCTATGATGAAACCGAAATACCGAAATATTTTTAATGTTATCACTAGTTTTGTTACATTTTCAATAGTGCATTTACTGCTTTCGATTACTGAAGTTATTTTTCTGCTTTAGGCTCTTGCAAGCTTGACCAAACCAACCCTGTTCATCCAAACTAGACTGTATTTTAATAAAAATGTTGATTCGTTTAATTTAATGAATAATATGCATTGCACAGTAATTGAACTATAGTTCTTTAACGCGTGAACATTTAAATTTACAAAAAAAAACAAAATATGTTTTTTATTTTAGCTAAAAATTAACAAATACTAATGCAATCGCAGCAAAAAGTGAAATTTAAACATTTTAAATTGCAAAAAAGATCGTGATGACTAAAATTGGGAAAAGTACAGATCAATATCGCTAACTTATAAAGTTATCGTTTAACATTTATTTTTGTGGCTTCATATATTTTTTAGTTATAAAAAAGTAAACCTTTAGTAACTTTTCGGTAATCTCGGAGACGGCAAAGTGGTTTTTCCAGCAATATTTATTTATAGTCAACAGTTTAAAGAGACTCACAAGTTCCTCCCACGGTACAACTAAAAGTTAAACTAAATAATAAAAGCTTATAATAAAAGTTTAAAATAAAAATTTTAAACCAATTTTTACTAGAAAAACCACAAAACTTCTATAAAGTTATAAAAATATGATACATTACAAAATGTATAACAAAATTTTAAACGTATCTGTTAAAAAGATAGTTTCACTTTTAAAACAAATTATTAATTTTTAGAAACTTCCAGAGGTAACTTGCCGTTGGAAAAAATTTTCAATGTTAAAACGCTGGTAGGGCGCTTCCAGTTATATAATTCCATGATTTTTACTTCATAATCGGCGGATAGATCTATTTAGTTTTAGAAATTGAACTATAACATTATGTTGTATGAATTATTCTTTTCTTCGTTAAACGTTTTTCATTCATGTTTTTCAATTTTAAAGTCAAACATTTAAAAATTAAAATTCTTCAAAAAACCGCTTATTTTTTTAAATTTTTACTTCATAACCGGCGGGTAGATCTATTTAGTTTTAGAAATTGAACTAAAACATTTCTCAACGGGTACAAAGCTAAGGGAGGCCTATTTACCAGCATACAACACCTTCTTATGGGTTGAAGCAGAGATATGCAAAGAACCTCAATTTTTTCAACTTTTAATTATTTTCAGTAATGTCTCCCCTTGCTCCAAACCACATAACTAGAATAATAGGACTAATCGATCAATTCGATCTATCGGTCGGGCTATTTGTCGTGTTTGGATTGTTGGCTTACGAAATTGCATGGATTTTAACGAGCAAGCTAAATGAGATATTTACTTGATTTAATATGCTTAAAACATTGTAGTAATTCTATTTAATTTTAATAATGATTAATAGAATTATGTATTATTAAATTATTTTTGTTAATTTGAATATAAAAATTGCTTTTGGTCCGGTGAAATCCGGTGACTTACTGAAGCCGAAGGTTGGCTTAGTAGGATTGAGCTATAGTCACCCTTTTTTTTTACACTATTCGATCATGTTAAAAATTGGTTTGCTTATGAAATAAACGGCCTAAATAAATCAAAATTGTTATTTGAACAACTATCTTCATTATATTCAATGAATATTTTACATTCTGCTGGTGCTCATAAGAAACTGGCTGCTGAAAAATCATACGTTGGCTTACAGCAGTGGCTTACAGGGTTTCATAGAACTCTTACGGTAGCACTTTTTTGTACATATAATGCTTTAAATAAATCAACATATTCATATCCCAATTATTTTTGTCAATATAAATATAGAAATTGCTTTTGTCAGGTGAAAAACAGTGGCTTACTGAAGATTACCGAGATTTTAGTAAGAAAAGAAAAACACAACAGTTGCTTTTATTTGACATCATCAAAAGATGAAAAGTGACGAAATTAAAATTTGTTAAATGTCAATTTTTTAAAAAGTTCAGATTTTAAACAAACAAAAATAACAAAATATCGATCGATAAAAAATAATTATCACGAAACATGAATATTTAGTAAGGACAGTTCACAGCATATCATAATGACTAAATCAACATACCAAACAGAAATTATTCATGCATGCATATATACAAAGTAAATCAGGAAATATCCAAAAATTATATAACCAAAATAAGAAACTAGAAACCAGTCAACATTTTACAAATAAATAAATAGACATTATTCAAAAGATTGTTCAAAAATGGTAAAATTTAAGGCGACGACAAAAAAAATTGTAGTTTGTTTTGTTGGTGTTGTGTGGTGCTAAGAAGCGAAAACACACCACAAAAAAAATATTAAAAAGTCGCAAGAATAGTAGTCAGTCACCTACCTACAATTAAATTACTCTCAGGGCCCTAGCTTACTTGTAATGATAACTCAACTCATTTATTTTACATATTTTAACGTTTTAATTTTACTTGAAGCTTTTAATTTATGTTAATGTTAATATTTTACTTGAAACTTTTTAACTAATGTTAAGCCCTAGCCTACCTACAGTTGTTCAACTCATCTCAATACCTAACTTACCTATGAATTAAATTAAGTCCGGTAAAGAAAATAGAAAGTTGAAGAGAAACATAACAACGACACCGAATGAATGGATGTTGTGTATGTGTGTGTTGTATTTATGTGTGTGCGTGTATGTAAATGTGCGCGCGCGTACCCTCCAGAAACTTCTTCACCCACTACGGACGAACCTCCATTGCACCGACCATCATCTGACACGCACCGAGGAAATGAATTTTACCGGATACTGAAAAACAAAATTGAAAGAAAAAGTTAATTTTTTAAAATAAAAAACAAGCCATTGAAAAAAAGTAAGCAACTTATCTTACCATGAGATTACCATCATGAAACGTGCTGACTCCTACCACAACCAACCTCTGATCATTCTGTAGACAAATTTTTTTTATTGGCTTAGTAGTAAATGAATGTTAAAACTAATGAACAGCCGAATAAATGATTGAGCGAATGATTGAGTGATTGAATGAATTAATTAACCAATCTCTGATTCAATGAATGAATAGAATGAGTCAATTAATGGATGAATGAAAGATTGTGTGACAAAATGAATGAATGAAAAAAATAAAAACAACGAAACTAAACCATACTTCAAAAATCGTCGTTGTTGTTTTCTTCGAGTTGTTATCGGAACGATCATCATGAGACCACCATCTGAAACGTGCTGACGCCCACCACTGCCCACCTCTCATCAGTCTGTAGACAAGTTATTTTTATTAGCTTAGTAGTAAATGAATGTTAGAATCTTAGAAGCAAAAAATTATAAAATGGAAATAATGGCAAATAAATAATATTTGAAAATAATAAAGAGAGTAAAATGTAAAAAAAACTTACCGTCGTCCATTC